GGGTCCAGTCCTTCTCAAGCAGCGAAGGAGATGTGGAGGTGTCATAGCTTCATTGGATGAGTATCATTAAATAATTGAAAGAAAATTAGATGCAGCAGGTCTCAGCCTAGAGCCATCTGGAACAACGTTGTTTATGCCTGGGCCTTATCGTTAACTTGGTAGCAGTTCTATCTCGCATCGCTTAATTGAAATTCGAAGAAAATAACGATCGGGTTTGAGGTAAGAAATGACATTACACTGATCGGCAAATGAAGCGTTTCGTTCCAAGTAGTTGTAGGTCACTGACCGATCAACAAATATAGGCTGATAAGAGCATCCAGATATAATGTGCTTGTGTTTAAATTACACTAGACGGAGAGTTTGATACACAGCCATATGTTAAGGTAACTTTACATTGTAACTAAGGCAATAACATAACTGCAGTACTAAATTAGATCACATTAGAATAACTTGCTCTCGCGCCATGAGATACAATTCACATATATCATCAGCCACTGGCATCAATAATGATTACTCAATAGAAGCGTGGAGGAATCTATTGGCTTTAGGAACTCCATTTTTCGGTTCAGGTGAGAAATGGAAGTATTGTACTGTACGGAAAATCACTCTTAAGTTTAGAGGTACTTTTAGCCATATGGTGTGATAGGCTGTGCCTGGGATGGGACTGATCATATCATGGCGAGACATTCTTGAAGCAGAGTCAAAGCAGAATGCCTGAGTATAAAGTTCACGGAACAGCTTTTTCGGCTCACCCTCAACACTTGCACTTATATGATGAGATTAGATAATGCGCCAACTGGAATTGATATGGTTGAGGTCACAGTTTGAGTCATGATGGGAAATTACAACAGTCTTAGTTGAATTATGTTAGATAGTTATTTGTACTTAAGGAAGCTGGAGCTTCAAAAAAGTAGTTCTCCAGCTCCACAATCTTATAATATTATTATAGTAATCCTCTCGCAAACCCGCCTCCTTCTAGCCATAGTACTTCGTCGACTTTCCATGTCTATATTATTCACCACTTGACCTTTCCATACCCTCAGCGAACGGCGATCTCGATCTACCCTACAGCTCGTCGTAACAGGTCACTAGTACCATTCCTTGTAGGAATTTAAGCTGCAACGGAGAAGCATCCGTGAATACAAAAGGTGAACATAAGGAAGTATCGAAGGAGGTACATACCAGATGGGGAGCATGGCACAGGATGAGAGAGGAGCCAGGGATAAAGGGTGAAAGGATGATCCTCAGGTGGCCAAGGTAGGGAGTTTATACAATTATCCGCAAACGACATAAAGGACAAGACACGATGCAGCAGATCAGCTTCCTAAGGAAAATAATCAGTTCCCATTGAGCTATCGACTTCCAAGTACTACTGAATTCTACAACCCTTTTACACATGATTACATATAGAAATATTAAGTAATTCAGGCCCCAGGTCCAGGTGGGATCCCAAATCGACTCCTCAAAGAATATAGGAAAACTGTTAGTAAAATTATCAAAGAGCCAATCAATGCATATATTTGCCCGGTGTACCACCCAAAGAGATTCAAATAATCGATGAAAATAGTTATCAAAAAGCCGACAAATTACACTCCAAAGTATTATCGACCAATTGCACTTCTCAAAGAAATGGGAAAGCTCCTTGACAAACTAGTGGCCAACCGTATCTCTAAAGCCGCCGAAGTAATAATCTGCTTCCATATAAACAGATAGAGACTCGACTTAAGAGAAGTACCATTTCGGCAACCAATCTCCTCACAGAGCAGATCCACACTGTATAAGGTAAAGACAAAAATCAAGCCGCATAACTCCCTAGTCTTCGTATACCTAGGGCATTTGACGGTGTCTCTCACGAATAACTTTTCCTTAATCTAAGGGAAAAGGGTATCCCAAGATAGATTAGCAACTTTTTAAAATTGTTCCTGATGACAGAACGATTTCTTTAATCCTTGACCCATACAAAAGAGACCAAATCTCAACCAACACAGTTATACCTCAAGGATTAACTCTATCTCCGATTCTGTTTCTGGTTTTTGTCAGCACTCTCTTACTAATGCTCCAAACCCCCTCTAGCACAGCGGTAGGATTTGTAGATGATACTAGTATATTCAAGCGGTCTACTGAAGAAAACTGCCGAATGTTAGAGGAAAAGTATAGTATATGCGAAGATTGGGCAAAGAAACACGGAGTAAATTTTGCGCTGGAGAAGTACCACTTAATGCACTTCACGCGAGCAAGGAACAGACATTATTTCAAAGCCATCGTGAGCATACAAGGAGACCTTCTTTCGCCCCAGTCCTCTCTTCGAATTCTCGGGGTCTTCGACCCCTAACTCCATTGGGTGGCCCACATAATGAATATTCAGCAAAATTCGTGCACCCAAGTGCAGCCGATTAGTAGACCGGCACAATCAACTTGTGGAGCGACATTCATGAAGCCTAAACTGTTGTACACTTCGATAGTGAGACCGGCCCTCACGTATGGGTCCTCGATATGGGCTATGGCCTTGCCAACAGGGAGGATATCTAAAAGAGTAATGAAACCTCTCAGAATTACTCAAAGAAAATGCTTAAAGCCTGTTACAGGTGCCTACAAGTCTACTAGCAGCAGAGTGCTAGAGCACGAATCTCCCGTCCTCCCTATAAAGATTTACCCGAAATAAAGATGGGTCCAGCACGCCGGACTATCAGCTAAACTCCCAGTTCAACAGACAATACGGTTGAAATGTAATAGGAAAAACCTGCCCGCAAACGGGAGAGTCTCCGCATTCCTGGAGCAGGAGCAAAGATATCGCTAAATGGACAAGAATTTATGAGAGGAAAAAGGAAAAGGGGAGGCAGAAAGAAGCTGGAAAGATAGCTGCCTTTCAGGGGTGGAAGAATTCATAGACAAGACAGATCAGGAAACAGCGCCCTGGCCGACCAGCATCAGCCAATCCAGAACATTGGAAAGCGGCAAATATATTTACCGACGGCCTAACAGGTAGTAAAAAAATGAACTTCAGAGAAACATCCTTAAATATCTACCGTAACCTACCTAGGGCCCAAGGCAGTGTCGCCATTCAGCTAAGAAGCGAGCATATCGGGCTCAATTCTTACCTGTGCAGAAGAAAAGTTCCCGGAGTAGAAAAGCCAAGCTTTCAATGCGGATATCCGTGAGAAAACGTCAAGCACATGATATTGGCTTGTCCGCAGTGGGCAAGTGGAGGAGGCGACTTTCTCCGACAAGTTAAAGACTTGTTGAGCTATGGTCATTCTAGGTTTACCCGATTTACTCAAAACATGACTCGGGTCGGAGAAGTTAATGCCGATACATTATGTGTATCAACGAAAATATTTCTTTGTTTGGATTTTACATAACTCATACTTTGAATTGGGTTTATGTTCATGTTCCTGATGAAATACTAATCTTATCTGTTCCGAGCACGTTTTGGTATATCTTGGTGGTAGCATTATTGCCAGCGAGTTATCTAGTAGGCTTTCAATTGAAGAAAACTATATATTTTAGATACTCGATAGCTAGAGAATAGAGAAGCAACCCATCGATGATTTGTTACCTTCTACTCCCATTTCCAAAATAGTCCTACAAGACTGGTCATTTGAAGCAATGATGGACAGCCCAGAAGATGTGGCTAGAATCACACAGTGGATACTAAGCAAATGATGAATGAAACAGTTTCGACTTGCAGAGGAAGTCCAGGTAGCAAAATTGGATAAAACAAAGCGATCTGGAAGAAGGGAGGACTGAATCCACATTAGCTGAATAGTGTAAACTGCACTACCTGAAGGTAAACCAGGCAAGTTGACAGCAATTCAATGGGCAGTATCAGGGGGTTTCCACAAAATTAGTTTCCTCTTTTGTAAATAATGAAGTTAGTCGACTGCATGGACTCATAGGGTGCCTAATCTAGTTAAATGAATTCAATTTCGAATAAGTAATTCAATTACAATTAACTATCAGTTAATCGATAGTAAACTTCATCGCATACTAAACATATTCATGACATCTCTAAATTAATCCCAAAGCTGGTATTTGATTATTTCAATCTTAGGAACTAAATCAAATTTACCCCTCAACCAATTTGCATCGTCGATTCTCTGTTGATTTTCCATCTTGCACCAGCACTAGTCTTCCTCATGTATTATTAGATGTGAAGGCAAATAATTCAAAACAGCAGCTTTTAGTCATGCAGACCTTGTAATAGGCTAGCTTCTGGGGGTAGTTTACATGTTGTTATCATTATAGTGCAAATAGCTATAATTTTAGGTAGATGTCTTTCAAATTACTTTGAGACACCCCACAGTAACCTATATGCTGCGAAGTGAACAAACTAGACTATCTAAAGCTATGGGTAAAATAATTGTAACCCAAATTAACGATACCACACGCATGTCGTTCGGTCGATATGGAGCTACTGTAATCGTTTGGAACATCTCTCTGGAAGATCTTTATCAAATGATATTCGTACAAATCAGCGAGTTTTGATTTGGTCACTCGACACATTTATATTTATGATGACGATATTGTACTGTAGTCATCAGAACATACGCGCGCAGTTTTCCATATTCAGCCAGAAGAATAAAAACACCTATGAGCCATTGGAGTTAAACCTCCGTAATCTCATTGACGGCATTTAATTTTTTACTTTACGTCGAAAATACGATGCGCTTACCGCAACGTTTTTTTAAGAGATTTTTAAATTTTCGAGGCATTGGAAAATTAGTGATCCACTGGAAAATATGCGCATACTGAGAGTATATCTTATCAGAAGTAGCTCCGCCTCTGCCATTTAAGCCGAAAAATGACAATCCCTCGAGAAAAACTAACTCACTTAGAGGAGCCTATCATAGAATTAGTAGATGGCACCACATAGCATGTGAAATAGTGCGAATAAGCTTGGGTAGCTAGTGCTGTGAAAAATCAAACATGTGCTATGCATTACTTTAGAGATACAGTAGTATGCACCTTGCCTTTGTTTTGCTCTATTTCCCAATGAACCTTCAGTGAAAGACAAAGCATACTCCAGATCTATCAACTGATACAATCATACTGTACGGTGACTCGAGTAATGCGATATCAAGAATCGAATCTAGGTGTGACCTCAATAGCTGTTGCTGTTGTAGAGAGATCACCGTTGATCTAGAGGGTCTCCCAATTACAGGAGATCTGGTTGAGCTAGGCGCACGCGGGCTTGCATTCGGCGCCGACGGTGCCATTGGGTGGGGTATTCGTTCGGTATTTAAGATTAGAGATGCTGTTGGGTGAGCTGCGGTGAAGCTAGGCTTTGCTTCATCCACACTAAGGCCGCTCACTACGGAAGATTGGTCAATTCGTTGCACGTCCCAGAATCTTATCTTTCGATCTGCACCTCCAGTTATCAAGAATCCGACCTTAGCTTCACCGTTATCATCATGACTATCGGGTCCCGCAATCATAGCTCGCATACCCCGGTCAGGAGTACTGGAGCTATTCGGCTCTATTGCAGTGGCAAATCTACTGAGCATACTTTCAGGTTGGTCTTCATCAACTGGCCACGGGTGATAGCCCCTAAGCCCCTCTCGGCTACCGCCTGCTCGATAAACTTCACGACATTGAGTTTTTTCGACATCCCAAACAGTAACTTCACCCTGACTGCTACCTCCGGCGACGCAAACCCATCTACCTCTACCTCGTGTCGGATGCAAGGTCATTCGAAAAATGGCAGTTGCGCCTGGGATACCCCATGCCTTAAGGCGTACCCGGAATCTTAGGTCCCAAAGATCGAGAATTCCATGAGATGTACCGAGCAACAACCACTGACGCTTTTTATCAACAACAAAGCACATTGGTGTACCGTGATGAACTGGGTTTTCTAGTACATATTTAACATTCATCCGATGTGGATCGATTGCAAGAATACGAGATTTGTTAGTAGCGATCATCAGTACCGAGCTGGTCTCGAGCATGAAGTGAAAAGACCATACTCCCATCTCTCCTTTAGGAAGCTGGTACTCTCGAAGTAATTTAAGTTTGCTATACTTCATAGTTCCATTAATATTAGCACAATCAACTCTAGTAATATTTATGCTTCCATCACTAGCACAACTAGCAAAAGAATGTGTATTCTCGATAAAGCATAATGCAGTTATTTTTGCACCAATACCCTGTGTGTGGGTTTGACGCGAGCGATGAGTTATATTTCTCTCGAGTCTCCCAGTGTCCCACACTTTTACACATCCGTCGTCACCGCCAGTTAAGAAAAAAACGTGATCTGATGCAACTGAAATATGATTGACGGCACCAGAATGTTCGGAAAAAGTCGTTACCATCATTCCTTGGGGCTTCCAGGGCTTTTTTGCATCAAGCGTAGAAATCTTATTAAGTGTCCTTCTTCGGCTAGAAGGTGCAATAGTCGGTCCAAATTCAGCGGCATTATTTCGATAATTTTCGACATACATTGAATCCAACATTTTCAATATATTCGGATCATTACCAGTATAATTATATGCGCCTCTGAAGCGGGCTTGGTATTGCAATTTTCTATCATTTTCCTTTGTAGGTACTAACATTGATGATTCAAGGTTGCTTGGATAGAATGAACTATCTGTCTTGCCAAAGACATTCGTTGATGTTGTACAGGTTTCAGCCAAAGTTTTTGCAGGGTCTTTGCTTCTCATCAAGTTAATAGCACTAGGCTGCCTCTTCACGCGGTTAATGGTATTAGTTAGCTTGTCTTTTGACTTTGTACCACCTAACATGCCTGTTTCATTGTCGCTGGGGCTTTCATTAAGATCAGATGTCCTCTGAGAATCCATGTTTTCGTTTGTCGAAGGTAATAATATAGCAGGGGAAGAGGTCGGTTCGCGAATAATTGGACTCGAATTCCTCGAAGTCCTCTCTATTTGTTCAGTGCAACGATATTTTTTGCCATTTAAGTCCGATGTTTGGTTAGAAACTACTTCATTAGTTGGAGCCGAAATATCTTGGAGAGTATCAACAATCTTATTCAAAACGACATCGTTTTCTTGAATGCTATCTGTAATTTGTGTCTGTCGCTCAACGTTTTTGTGGTGCTCGTCATCGAACATAACCGTATGAGGTGTGACATTGATAGTGTGAAGCTTGAATATGTTATTAAAATCGAGTGGTTTATTTGATTCTCCTATCGGTTTTGCTAGAGCGCAACGCCAGATATATTCTCGTAAACAGAGTAATTTGAATTCATCTTCTGCCAAGAGGCCCATATTCCGAAGCTTTGAAATCCATAGCTCGTCTTCTTTATTTTTGGGCTCTTTCTGTAATGCATGATCTGTTGAGTCTTTCTCGGATAATGCAGGAATAAAAAACAAGTTGGGATCAAAATAGAATGTACGCATTTGATGCATCTGGCTCCAAAATTTGCCCTTCTCAGATTTTGTTGCCCATACGATCGAAAGGTCTAGGAGTGAGCGAGAAAGAGGCCTTTTTAAGTTGTCCAGAAGGCCTAATTCTGTAAAATCTCGGGTCCATGTCTTTAGATACGGCCTTATTAAGGGTAAAAAGATACATTGCTTATCTGCAATAGACAGATGTTGAGCTGATGAGGACAAAAACATTGCTGCAGCCTCTCGAATCCATATATTTGGATGCATGGAAAATCGAGTGATCATATTTACGAGCTTCCAAAGTTTTGAGCGCTGGAAGAGACCGAGCTCTGCCATATTGGCCAATGAATGAAGCGCGCTCTTTACAACAAACTCCTCAGGATCAGTTAAAGCTTGGGTAACCAGAGGTAATATAAATTCTTCAAGACTACTACCACCCAAGAATATTGCAACACCAACAATTGTCTCAAAAAATGCACATTTAAGCATCCAATCTCGATCATTCAAGTATGTATTTAGGTGACTTAGGATAATATCATTCGAGTCTGCTGCCCCAAAAAATAAACAGAGCTCAGGAACAGATTTAAGGAACGCTCTTTTAACGGAAGAATCGTTATCTGTCATTAAAGTCTTGGTGTGATAAGCGAAAATTTCTATAAGCTCAACTTTTGCGTTGTCAAAGATACCTTGAAATTCAGATGCATTGTTATTATCATCGTCAACCTCTAAATCTACAGTAGGCAATGAACCATCTGCGCGTAGAGCTGCTACCATGTCTAGAAATCGAGACGCAGAGTGCGATAAACTACCTAGACAGGCTGCATAGGTTGCCCTGACAAATGAAGTTGGCTCAGAGGTTGTACCAGGAAGAAATACCTGCATACGAGGTAAAATGTATTCTGGGAAAACATGCGCGTTTACGGGAGATATAACCTTAACTAAGGCCATCAGCTGGGTCAATGATCGTATTGCTGCTGCTCTAACAACTGCAGCTTTGTCATTTAACAGAGCTACCAAATATGGGAGGACACGGTCAAGCTTTGCCTCGTCAGTCAGCCGCTCTGAAAACGCGAGAAGAAGATCGCATGCTTTAGTCTTAGCTGTCGCTCGAGCAGTATTGCGAATTGAAGACACAACAAGAGATAAAAATATTAAAGTTCCATCTTCAGTCATTTGCTTTTGGATGGTAGAAACGGGGTGCTCGTTGTTCGGAATATTCAGATGTACTGGAAATAATTCTAGACCTGACGTTGTTTGAGAAACTATATTTATCTTTTGTTTTTGTTTTTCATAGCCCAGGAAGAATGAAATCTTATCAAAATCATAAAAGATACGTTCTATTCTTTCGTCACACTCTCCAAGATTGGCTGAAGGTCCAAATGTAGATCTACGACCTGGAGATGGATCGGTGATGAGGCTCATATATTGTTGCAAAAAGCTGTAGAAGTATTCAGGAAATACCTTATTTTTCCATAATTGAAGGTGTTTTTCTGCTGTATGTCTAGATGAAGGATCTAGATGAATCATGGAAGCAATCATTTGCCGAACGTTGGTGTCTGATATACGATTTAAATGGGAGGTGATGGGCTCATAGTCACCTCTCTTGTATTTGTATAGTTGGCTCAGGTTAAATATTGGCGCTTCTAGAAATAGCTCTGCAATGACACACCCGGCACTAAAAATATCCATAGCCCATGTGATTGGCGATTCTCTGTCTAGAGGGTCTCCGGCTGCTCGAAACCTTTCTGGAGCTAGATAGCACGTTCGTCGTCCAGCAGTGTCAAAGAAGTACGAGAAATCTGCAGGGTTGTCTTCTGGTAGAGCTGACGGCTTAAAAGATGAAGAGAAGTCTGATAGAAAAAGCCAGTTCCATGATGTGACTAACACATTTTCTGTTTTAATGTCGCCATGAAATACATTCCGAGCGTGACAGTCCCGGACACCACAAAGTAACTGAAATGCCAGCCATTTCTTTTCAATATCTTCTAAGAAGGGACGGGTGCTGAGCCGATCATATAGTGAGCTGTACAAGTATTGACGTACTAGAAATCCGTTGGTATCGGTTTCAACAATTCGTTGGTATGCAAGAGCGTTTGGAACATCGGCCAACAATTTTCTCTCTTCTAATACTAAAGTGAGAACGGATACTGATCGATTAGGTCATTTCCACAACGCTTACCTATGATTTTGCGTTTGTAGGGTTCCAGTGTCATTATCCAGGGCTTAACAATTACTTTCACTAGTACTACTCCATCTCGATGGCGCGCACGTATACTTTTCATAAATTGTGCTGTTCCCATGGATTTCTCATATACCAAATCTCTGAGCTCTGGAACATCAATACCTGCGGTCCCAGGCGAGATTGTGGTGAGAGAGAATCCTTGCCCCATATTCTTAGAGCTCCATGCATTTTATCACGGTTTTACGATGAGATTTGTCTTCAACTCTTTGAATTGTTGTTTAGCGCTATGAGTAATTGGAACGGGGTAAACTACCACACTAAATCTGGTTTAGGCAGGATGGTAATTATCACGTGAATTTTCATATTGGTCAAAAATTATTAATTGATGAAATAACAGCACAAAGCGCGGAAGACAAAGACTCAACGTTTGCCATTAGTACCTCGTCTAACTCTGGGTTGAAATTGACCAAAAGACGCAATAGGGCGAAAATGGTGTGTTCTCGAAGGATGTAATTGTCGTGACGATCGGGGGGAACTTTGTTGGCAAGAACTGGGTCAGAGAGATCTGCAGAAATTTCACCACTGCACCAATTATCGACTTGTATCGGACAATGAAGGATGAAAACTTATCAGTGGTGTCCTCACAAATCTGTGAGACAGTTCTTTGAAGTAGACGTGAGAGAAATCAGGACAAGTTGATAAGATGATACAGAGGATGGATACATTCTCGACGGGCGTGAAATTTTGAACTTTGGCACGGAGTTTTTACAAATTGAGCTATGTGCGTGCCAAGCCTTCGGTTGCGAGAGTACAGGCAACACTGTAAACACTGCCACGGTTGGATGGTGCGGTGGTACATTATCTTGGCCGGTCTGCCAAGTAGAGTCTGGATAGCTTGGACACATATCCCACTCGAGAAAGGAGATCGTTGGTTCAAATCCGGAAAAACACAACCATATTTCTTGCGGCGCTGGTCTATATGGATGATGAAGCCATGTTTGGATACTCAAAGGTTTCGAAATTCCCTTTGGTGGGTACTTACGGAGGAGGGTCGACTGTTTGTGTAAGCAAGCATACGTCATAGTGGTATTTGCGAATGAAATACAGAGTATGAGTGTATCTAACGTCAAAAGAGTCATCCTACATGTACACATAACACCGGTCATGTGTCATAGCTCTACAGCTGAATACACATTAAATAATTTAAAAAAAATCGATCTTTCAAGGAACATAAGAGTCAAAGAGTACTGTACGAGGTAAAGCTTGGGTCAAGGAGGAGCCCAATGTGCTAAATATTCTATGACTTTATAAATACAATAAAAACATCACATCTTGAAACGCTTACTAAGGGTAGTAATATGTATCCAGATTGAGGCCTGACACCGGTACTGGGGGATCCCCACACTCAGCAGGGTTTTTATATCGCCCTGCTACTTTTGACGCGTAAATAACCTTAAATTCGCCAGTTAGATAGTGTTTATTGTATTAGGCATGTAACTCTCTGGACTATATGATCAAACAAGGACTTGTTGGAATTATTGTTATTCGATCGGAGCTCCCTAAAAGACACAAGAGAGTAGATACTACCCGTTGCTCAGGCATTTATAGATTAAAGGGAGAATGGACTTACGCAACCTGTATTATCACAGGCTGAGAAAGAATATGCATTAAAATTAGTGTTCAAGCCAAAACTCCCAGATAACACCGCGGCTCTTTATGCAGCTGTATAGTTGCTACGATTGCTAGTGGTAGTTTCACTGTCACGCACCACAATTGAAACTTACCCTTGTAATTTAGTTTGTGTTTGTGGGGATTAATGGGGTAGTTAATCCTGTGGTAGCTGCAGCCTTATGGATTGAAAACTTGAAGGCTCCACTTTATCCGAGAGGCATAGGCTGGCCACTTGTTAATGGCGATCCTATTGTAATCCATTCGTCATAACGACCTTACCACATCATAATGTATTAGTTAGTGATTTGTGATTCAATAACTATGCGGTTTGCCTACGTCGCGCAATGAATTCTAGATCTCTTGCATCGTCAAACACCTCACCTGAGCGGCGGCGCACATCCCAAACTGCCAAAGTGTCCCTCAGTCTATCTAATGTAGAGCAAGGTGATGCCGTTAGCATATCCTCAATAGCAGAGAGCCAGATTGACGAAGATATTGATACAAGTACGCGATATGAAGTGAGAATTGAGTGCGGTAGGAATCTATACAAGCATCATGCTGACTATTATAGGACTTTACAACTATAGGTAATTCTTTGGGTTGTAATGATATAGATACCAATAAAATTGACTCAATGATTTAGACTGGGTGCAAGATGCGGCTAAGGGACAGCTCCGGCGGAATTTCCGGCAGAGAGAGGCTACCGGAGTCTTCAAAACTAAAGGACAAAAAGGATGGCGCTTTAAAGTTTCAGATTCTTTTGAAGCAGCTCATGGATGGATAGTAGTCACCCTGATAGGTGATATTTAATAGGTCTAGTCGAGGTAGATGCTAAGCTAACATTAGCTAAGGTACTGCGATCGGTATGAATGCTGCGTTCCTAAACATTGTAACCGAGTGGCTTTCCGATATCAAGCTCGGATATTGTACAACAGCGTTCTATCTTAATGAGAATTTTTGCTGCTGGGGTGAGGAAAATGGTTGGTTTTCTCCGAGAATTTTTCATGTTAAATACTAATACACCCAGGTTGCGACAACTGGCATACATGGAGCTCATTCGCCATTAATAATTACATCATGTACATCATATTTGCTGTTCGATATCGTAACCCTTCATAGATATTTTACAGCTAACCATTTATATAGGCTATATTTGCGTTCACATCAGCTATATTAGTGCGGATATTTGCTCCATATGCAGCTGGATCCGGAATATCAGAAATAAAATGCATTATCGCTGGGTTTATTATGAAAGGCTTCCTCGGATTTTGGACGCTTATCATCAAATCTGTGGCCCTTCCTCTCACAATCGCATCGGGGCTGTCTGTTGGCAAAGAAGGTCCAAGTGTGCACTACGCAGTGTGTACGGGAAATGTAATATCGAGAATCTTCAAAAAGTATAAACGAGATGCTTCCAAGACGAGAGAAATACTTAGTGCATGTGCGGCTGCTGGAGTTGCAGTTGCCTTTGGAAGCCCTATAGGCGGGGTTCTTTTCTCACTTGAAGAAATCTCATCATACTTTCCAATGAAAACCTTGTGGAGAAGCTATTTTTGTGCGTTAGTTGCTACCGCTGTACTGGCAGCAATAAACCCATTTCGAACTGGTCAGCTCGTCATGTTTCAAGTCCACTACGATCGTTCGTGGCATTTTTTCGAAGTTGTCTTTTACATTCTCATCGGTGTATTTGGTGGTATTTATGGCGCTTTTGTTATAAAATGGAATCTACGCGTTCAAGCATTTCGGAAGAAATATCTTAAAAACTACGCTATCCTTGAAGCTACTCTACTGGCCACTGGAACTGCAATCATTTGCTACCCGAATATTTTCCTCAGAATTGATATGACGGAGAGTATGGAAATTTTGTTTCTGGAGTGTGAGGGGGCCGAGGATTACCAAGGACTTTGTGATCAGAAAAACCGTTGGGGAATGGTATTATCGCTAACTTTCGCAACCATTATACGGATGTTACTAGTCACAATTTCATACGGATGCAAGGTTCCAGCTGGAATATTTGTTCCTTCCATGGCAGTTGGTGCATCATTTGGACGAACTGTCGGAATACTGGTTCAGGCGCTGCATGAGGCCTACCCGACATCAGTTTTTTTTTCTGCATGTCAACCTGATATACCATGCATTATACCAGGAACATACGCCTTCCTAGGAGCTGCAGCTGCTTTAAGCGGTATAATGCACATTACAGTCTCAGTTGTAGTTATTATGTTTGAGTTGACTGGAGCCTTAACTTATATTCTTCCAACTATGATAGTTGTCGGTGTGACAAAGGCTATCAGCGAGCTATTTGGAAAAGGAGGAATTGCCGACCGAATGATTTGGTTTAATGGTTTCCCATTTTTAGACAACAAGGAAGATCATACATTTGGGGTACCTGTATCACATGTTATGACAGGTAAAGTCATGGCTCTTCCTGTCAGTGGGCTCACTATCAGAGATGTTGAACAACTTCTTCGTGAGGGTCAATACAAAGGCTTCCCTCTTATTGAAGATATAAATTCTAAAATTTTAATGGGCTACATAAGGACTACTGACCTGCGTTATGCTATCGATCGCGCTAAAACGGAACGTACAATCACCTCCACCACAAAGTGTTATTTTATCTCAGCTCCAGCAAAATCACCTTTACGCAAAATACCATCTAAATCTTCTGCATCAAACAAATCAGAAGATGTACATCCTTCATCAGTCGACCTCAGTCGCTTCATTGATCCGACACCTGTTAGAGTACACCCACGCTTGCCACTTGAAACTGTCATGGAACTTTTTCGCAAGATTGGGCCTCGGGTGATTCTCATCGAATATTATGGAAAGCTAGTCGGCCTGGTGACCGTGAAGGACTGCCTCAAATATCAATTCAAGGCTGAGGCAAGCGATATCCTGCGTGTCGACAGACGAAATTCTGAATTTAAAGATTGGTTTCAAACCTCGATTAAAGTGTGTACTGATTTATTTTCTACAATATTCCTATGGGATAATCATGGGCGTATACGCATAAGATCAGCCACTACTATTGGCCAGAACAACCTAAGAGGCTCGTTACGCGAAGCGTCTCTAACCCAAGATAGCTTGCTCGGCGAAAATGATGATTCAAGAACTAATTATGAGAATGAAGAAAGTTTTGAATTACGCAACAGGTAAAAGGAAATTTTATAATTGTTTATTAGGCCACTCTCATTCTAATAACAAAATATATAAATACTCAAAATATTAATGATGATAGATTATCTTCAAGGCTCCTCACGTTCTACGCGGGCTAAATAAAATCCTCTTTGATTTCTAGAAAAGTTCATATGAAGACAACTTAATGATCAACTCACTCGTCTGGTGAAGATTTAGTTGCAAGAGTTAACGATCAATGATATCAAAATTTAAGGCAAGGCTTAAGTGAGAAAATGATAACAAATGCCTTGTCACTAAGGTGAAGAAGAGGAATAATGGAATACATTTATCGCCCTCCGACTCGGATTAAAAAACTTTTAATTCGGATATGAAGAAGGAAGACTAACTTATAGTCTCCAGTCTAGCTCACATATTATGTGATATTAAGATAAATGCTCTTAAAAACCTACACTACATCACCTAAATATAGTGAATTAAGAACATCCGGAGGATGATTAGTGTCATAAAGACAAAAATACTTAGTTAAATCATTAAGGCTATGTACAATTATTTTCTTTCTGATAAGATCACAAAATATAAACTTGTAATAATTCACACGAATGTAGAAGTTGATAGTTCATAGCTTTAGTGTCAAATGCAAAATTTATGCAGTGCATATCTCGTAGGAAAATGTTTAATCCCTTTGAAAAGTGCTTAAGAATAACTAAGTTAGGCATCCATGCGCTGGAAGAGAAAATTAGATACATTATGTGGAAATCAAATAGTTACTCCTAACACTCTCAAGAAGCCCAAAATTAGAAAGTCGATCCTCACTCTGTTGATTTGTAAACATATTTATAAACAATAGAGATTTATATGCAGGATAGACGGTACAGCGACTGACCGTTCCGGTTGGTTACCTTGCAAAGTATAGATGGCTTAAATACGTATCTCAGCTAACATTGCAGATCGCTGGCTTAGAATCAGTTTGAATTGGCCACATTTTTCGCGTTGCTCACGTGAAGGCTGGAAATTATAGTAATTGTAACCTACATGATATTATATGGATGTCAAATGTGGAAGTACAAAAATAATCTATGATATAAAACCGTGCAAAAACTGGACTTCAATTTACTTGTATGGGATAGATCCCAACTTGTTCAGGAGTATCTCTGAAGCCAAGATAATCCTATAACATCTTCGCACAGCACTCATCACATGTCATAGTCAGATAGCTGAATACACGTTAGCTTATAAGAACAAATAAGAATATCCATACGCTTAAACGATAATGGCAGCTCCTGGCACAACTGATACATGTATGGAATGAGTTGATCCTGTCGGGAATCCCAGACTAAATTGGTAGCAAGAGAGTGCTGATGCTGAGGGTCTGAATTTTTAACAGGCGCAGTTCTTGGGTAAAAGAGACGTACTAAGTTTACCTTTGGTAGATGCTCGCGGGTGAGAGATAATAATGTTTGGCAGACATCAAGAACCTCATTATTATTATTTCATTTTATTGTCCTTTATCAGTCTATGACTTTATAGGAAATGCACGTCCTCTCTACCTACAGGCCAAGGATACTTGTATCAGTAGTATATCCCTTCCTATGCCTCCCATACAGCTCCCCTCGATATAGAGCATCCCTCACGAGTCCTCATTCGATCATACACTTAGAGCAGCCCTTTGCCCTTCATTATCTCCCCTCTCCAGCCAACGAAACGATGGCCATTTGCGGGTGTGTGGCAGCCGGGTAAAATCGCAAAAAACCACTGGGTGCGAAGCTCTCCTAATACCGACATTAGGACTAGATCCGAAGACATAGTGACCCTTCCGAAGCGTTCGAAGAGGCCGGCCAGCTGGGCGCTGCAGACTTGTGGGCACCTCAGAGAATTCATACTCCGCCTTTCTAGCCTCCTTCCAAATCTTTCCCAAAGGTCGTGCTGAAACTAGGAAAAGTCTTGACAGAGCTTGATTGCTGTGTGGTAGCTTGGCTCAACTTCTTTTGTACCGTCCAGAGCGCTGGGGAGTGCCGTTGACTCATCTACAATGAAAGTCCTCCTGCCTAATTTGCCGAAATCTCAGTCTTGGCGCCCACAAATGTTCCAAAGTCGAAAACCCCTCGAAAATGTCAGTCCCAGCATGGTCTTCAGAGATCTTTTCCGCATCTCAGCCGCCTGTTCCTCCTCAAGTTGTATGTACTATTAAAGCAACAGTCTCCCATAAGCCAGGACCTAGGTTTTGTATTTTTCGATTTGATTTACCCCTTGCGGGTAGACGTAGCGTCGTAAATTTCTAGTGAGTGATTGCCGGGAATGAATGAGGTAAGTTCTCGTTTGCAATTGAGGTGACGCCTTTATTGGTCGTCAAGGCGAGATGATGTGTGGTTAGAAAGAGGTTGAGGACTTAGAGGATGACGGTAAGTACTGCGTAATTGAGAAGTCGTCAAACGGAGATGTTCTTGAGGTTGCTCTCGACTTCAATTTCGCAGTGACTCGTCCTGGCTATCCCAGATATGCAGAACATACTGAGCGATTACACCGGCACTACTGGAAGGTGAATAATTCGTCTTTTCCGGCTTTCTGGATAGCTTAGAACCCATGGAATCCCAAGATTAGGATGTCGAGGTTCGTCGTGTGGTCGTGATCGGCTGCGCCCAAACCGACAAAAGAAGCGGTCAGATGACTTTTCTCGCCCGCGGCTGCAGGTCAAGAGAGCGTCGAGGTGTTGGAAACGGCGGTGGTAGTCTGCAAAATCCCCGTGTCCTGAGCGTACAGCAAGAAGAAGGCCAAGTATTCGCCGGTCGAGACTCCTGAGTTTCAGTGATTCTCTAACATTTTCTCTAGTTTCAAGCTGTATAAATCTTTCGGGGGCTTTTTGCGTCCAGTATCTGGTCGACCTTTTCGAACGCTTCGGAGGGGTCACTATGTCTTCGGATTTAGTCCTAATGTCGGTATTAGGAGAGCTCTGCACCCAGTGGCTTTTGCAATTTTTCCCGGCTGCCACACACCCGCAAATGGCCATCGTTTCGTTGGCTGGAGAGGGGAGATAATGAAGAGCAAAGGGCTGCTCTAAGTGTATGATCGAATGAGGACTCGTGAGGGATGCTCTATATCGAGGGGAGCTGTATGGGAGGCATAGGAAGGGATATACTACTGATACGAGTATCCTTGGCCTGTAGGTAGAGAGGACCTGCATTTCCTATATAGTCATAGATTTAGACAGGACAATAAAATGAAATAATAATAATAAATAATAAGCCCTCCAAAAGGGGCTATCGCCTTTAGCAAGAGGGTCCACGAGACAAAGTTTTTCGAAGAGACCCATTTTTGTTCCTAGCTCTTATACACACTCCATACTAACTCTTTAGCGAGACCCAGTCACTTACTGGTAGCTCTGTCTGTACGAGTGGTAAATCGTTTCTCCCCTCCGTCATGTAGATTTATATTATCATTCTGTTTGCGCTGTAGTCAACAGAAGGCCTAGATAAAGGGTGCTTTTGATGTAATTCAAGTTTGGGGCACCTGGCATGAGGGCCGGGGCCCAGTTAGTACATGCCGGGATATAAGGAGCGTCGGCACGTCGGGTAGTTTTTATAGAGAGCTAACCGGCACGTCACCTTGGGGAACGTGTTGTGCGCCAGCACGACGTAAAATAATAAATAAAACAGAGACAAACAAACTCATACAATGCGTACCGAAATTATTTGATCCTTGAGCTACCAAAATTAGTACGGCTCATATTTGAGTCATGCATTAGTATGAGCTTGCATGAATATTGTCACGCAATATAATCACTCAGGTTTTTCTATGAACACCTTGCTTCCTTGCGCAGACTAGGAACAAACCAGATTCACAATCGCTTTAGCGGTCTACATCGTCTTCATCTCTCAAAAAACCCCTCTATCGCCATTATCATGAAGCTAACCAACATCAGATTAGATGGTTGGGTCGAAGCCCTTGTCATCACCAATACTTGATCATGGAGAAATCGTGCGGTGAGTTTCCGGAGCGTGTCCAGTACCCGATTCGGAGATGGTGGATTGGATCAAGTCGGCCTCGCATGTTACATAGAAGGAAAATATAGATGGATATATGCACCTCGTGTGGCCAGGGCTGCGGATTTTCTGAGAATTAATCCCGCGCACATAGTCTTCATTGCTACTTGGTTTGTCTTTTTGGTAGAAGGTTCCATGGAAAAAGTGGCTGTATTCGGCGGGTAGATACTGAACTAAGTGACTATCTATCATGAGCAATGTATCAATGATCTCTCGAGTAGAAAAGAGGAAAAGAGCACTATCAAGGTGTGGTCTGGGTCAGAGAGAAGCTTAATATGCTGGTTAGTCATAGACTCAAGTTGCATAACTAAAAACCAACCAAAACTTCGGCTGTATTTCAGACTGCAAATGATGTGACTTAGAGGCACCCGTGAGGTACGATGAACAATGAAACGGTACAATAGGATGGGTTTCAGAATCAATTCCTCGATCACTTGCTAGGAGCTTCTTCTCCCTCATTTTTTATCGTTCAACTGGAAAACATCATGTGCCTTGTTCATGATATTAGCAGATGTAATAGTCCAAGGCAAATGCATGAGTGGAACTGATGTAGGGAAGGAGTAGAGTATGTTTGAGCCATATGGCCTATGCATGAACTTCAACTGGTAAAATTACTAGTGCTAATGCAACATTTTCTTTTCGCCATGGCCGACTCATCTGGACGAAACAGCAGAACAGCATCCGTCCAGCTCCAACATTTCAGTAAAATGCGCGCAGCTTGCCGAGCTTTCACAAAGTTTCCATGTATCCGATCCCAATGAAGTTGAATCCGTTCCACAGCAGGCTGTTCATTTTCATGACCCAGGCATCTCCGTGGCATAAAAGTTTCCTCGAGCTTCTCATTGGGGTTTGGGTAGGGTTGTGTGAGGTAATTGTCGTTGGGAAAGGTATTACCCCTCCATGAATTCGGTGTACATCCAGCTCTCACGACCTTAGTTTTTCTGATCTTGCCTCTTTAATATCGCAGCATCAGTACACGAC